AGAAGCATCTCTTCTCTATTTACATTTTCTTAATATTTCTAAGCTGATTTTATATTTTAAATGTACTCTTAGCCTTCATAGCGTAATCATTCCAGATTATTACTGATTTAGTGCACTGGAAAAGAGACATTGTTTTAAATTAAAGTAGTTTACTGGGTTCAAAACAACATTCACTCCTTTCAAAAAAAAGGAACACTAATTTATTTTGAGTGTTCTCCAAAACAATATACATGTTTATGAATTTTCACCATGGCTACGTCTACACTGGCCCCTTTTCTGGAAGGGGCATGTAAATTTCACGAGTCGTCGTAGGGAAATCCACGGGGGATTTAAATATCCCCCGCGGCATTTAAATAAAAATGTCCGCCGCTTTTTTCCGGCTTTTAAAAAAGCCGGAAAAGAGCGTCTAGACTGGCCCCGATCCTCCGGAAAAAGCACCCTTTTCCGGAGGCTCTTATAAGGCATGCAGACCCTATTACTCAAAGAAAGGAATTCTTGAGGTCTTTGAAGTAGGAATAAGAGCCTCCGGAAAAGGGCGCTTTTTCCGGCGGATCGGGGCCAGTGTAGACGCTCTTTTCCGGCTTTTTTAAAAGCCGGAAAAAAGCGGCAGACATTTTTATTTAAATGCCGCGGGGGATATTTAAATCCCCCGCGGATTTCCCTACTACGATAGGTGAAATTAACATGCCCCTTCCAGAAAAGGGGCCGGTGTAGACGAGCCCTGACAGAAATTGACCCAGATACATTGGGTTGTCAAATGTCTTCATTACCAATGTGGCTCCTTTAAAAGCTGAATGTTATGCTAGTAGGTCTGGCAAGCTAGAAGTCTTTTCACTATTAAGTTCCTACATCTGATCAGGAGGAAGACTGACGAGACTGCAACAGCATGCTATGGGAGCCTGCAGGAAGAGTCAGAATAGGGATAGGAAGAGGCAAAGAGTTGGGCATTAAGACCCAATCAAGGCAATGCCTTCCCTTGCCTCTTTACCCACCGCTCATGGTTTCCACAGGAAAAAAATACTTGTGAATTAGCAACGTTGCTCCTGGGATTGTTGTTTCAGTGTTTATTTACTGCCACAGACCCATCACAAAGGATTCAAAGCCAAGCATTCTGATTTGCCTGCTTGCTTTATGTCTGCCTTTCCCATCGTGCCACAACACCCACGCCCTTTTTTAATTTTGAAGGGATATTTGATTTGCATCTTCAAAAGTTGTAACTGACCATTAAAACACCCCTAATCCCCGAGGATGCAAACTAAGTATCACTTCAAAATTAAAACAAGCTTTTCTCATTTATGACAATGAATCATGAACCCGAAAAGAAATAAGGATAGGACTGGGTATTTTCAGATAAAGGAGGTTTTACTCCAGCTATCATATATCACATTTAGAACAAACATCAGTTTAAGAAGCAATCTTTTCTTTGTACTCAGTCTTACCAACTATAAATAGCAAGCCACCGATTCCTCGCACATAGCTGAAACTAAGTACATCAATGGAAAATGCAACGACTGATAGGATGAAACAGATGACCAGGATCACGAAGCCGACAAGGTAGGTGGCAGCTGCTGCTCTTCCCCAGGCTTGAAAGGAATGGAAGAAACGTGTTAGACAAAACAATGCATGGAAGCGGATGTCACACTTTCATCTTCTGTTCATTTAATTCTATCACTGTAGCGATTCTGTCCCTGATAAGCATACCATACGGCTTTGAGTTAGTATAAAAAATGTAAGTGTGGCTTTCAGGGAAACCAAGAGGTCTAAGCAGAGAATAATTGTAATTATCACTATTTATATGGTGCTATAAATATGCACGACGCTTTACAAGCAAAAGAAAAAGACAAAGCTTGGAATTTTCTACCACATTCAGCATTGACCTAGCTCTGTATCCATTGAAATGAACAGTAAAGTTCTCACTGAAGAGTGAGTGGAAAGAGAGTTATCCTACTTTTGTAAATTTCATTTATGGTTCATGAGCAAACAGACAAGAATGATGTGGTAAAGACAAATGCAGACAAATAAAGGGATATCTCCCTGGACAGTGCAGGTTTCTGCTGTGAACAAGGGATAGAAGCTGATTGACATCATGGATTTGTAGTTACTTTTTAAATTGATGATTAAATGTGTAATGCTATAATGGAGAATTAGCATTTGAAGGCTTAGCAGAAGAAGTTA